ACAAGCTCTTTGTAGAATTGTACAGTAAGAAAGTTATTTCCCTTAACCAGGAAATTAACGTTCTTAGAATTGACAGACGTTTGACCCTGAGAGGTCAAGTAAATACGTACAGCGGATCTAAATATTTATAATTAATTATAACCTGGTTTTGATTAATTATTCATATTTCCCCTTTGAGCTGATTCGCTACACTAGAGAAAGCACAAAAAAGGTATTTTGATGAATCTTGGTCACCAAACAGTTGATGGTCGCTATTGACATTGAATATCTTAACTGCATGTCCCAATTAATGCTGCAATAAAGGGCTTGTTTACTCCTGGTCACTTCATGTGTTTTTTTACTGATCTGAAAGCTATCTGGTTTGTTAAATCCATTCCACTTACACTTGGCAACATAAATGTTTCTCCGCAAAACAAATTTAAATACAATTTTGAATTCCCAAGCTATATGCAAATTTAACAGCATTCACGTCAAAGAAAGCAAAAGATATGCACCACATTTTATTAATCATCAGCTAATTTCAAGATCAATGACTGCAACAGGAGATATACTTTAGTACTGATAAGATAATTGAGTCTCACTACTTAACTGACTTTCAGTTTCATTTGCGGCAGTTCGTCTGTCGGCTTGCTGAAGAGATACTCAGCTACTCATCTGTGGCAATGCATGTAGCATTAGCGCTGTCATATATGGCTATGACATGTCATATAGCCAATAACACACTCTCACACGTTTATTTATTTATTTTTTACATTTTGGGAGGAGTAAAATTTGCATATGTGGTTTCAACAACAAGATGCATTTACACTTGTCCAGTTTCATCTGGAATGCGCCTCAGACCTCCTGAAGTGGTTTGAGTGATCAGACTTAAATCCATCTCGAAAGTGTTTTGTAGGACATTTACACCCAGTCTTTTCACAATCGGATAGCTACCTGATCAGAGAAATTGTGATATGTGTGTGGATTTTTAAAATTGTTTCATAGAAGGTAAATCTACAGATAATCGCAGATATCATATTATATCAGACAATAATTTAGTCAAAATTTCACATTGTGACATTCCTAATGTTTATTACGTATTATTATTACTTACAACCTAATATTTATATATTATTAACATAATATTAGTATTACAATATTTGCTAATTATTATTATTATTATTATTTATTTTTCAGTGATCATGCAGGTGTGTAATGAGTTTTTTTATTATTAAAATATTAAAAGAGAAGAACCTCAGTGAACGCAGTGTTTAAAAGAATTCACATCCAATGTCATGATACTCACACAGGGTCAAAGATAGATGCTGTAGATGCTGCCCTCTGAGCGTCAAAATCACTCAGATAAGGGGGCAGACCCATGGATCTGTTGCTCTTCACAGACACACAGCTGAATCCTGAAGATGCTGCTCTCTGACGGTCAAAATCACTCAGATAAGGGGGCAGACCCATGGATCTGTTGCTCTTCATAGACACACAGCTGAATCCTGAAGATGCTGCCCTCTGAGGGTCAAAATCACTCAGATAAGGGGGCAGACCCATGGATCTGGTGCTCTTCATAGACACACAGCTGAATCCTGAAGATGCTGCTCTCTGAGGGTTAAAATCACTCAGATAAGGGGGCAGACCCACGGATCTGTTGCTCTCCATTGACACACAGCTGAATCCTGGAGATGCTGCTCTCTGAGGGTCAAAATCACTCCGATCAGGGGGCAGAAACATGGAGCTGTTTCTCTTCATAGACACACAGCTGAATCATGGAGATGCTGCTCTCTGAGTGTCAACAGTGAGCCTCATATTCTCTCTCCTCATACACACTCATTTTACATGCTGTTCTTCTGCTTCTCTTCTTCCTAGATAAGAAACTTGACTTCAGGCCTGTATGTGGAAACAGATAAATGAAGCTTTAAGGATAAGTACTGCTAGAAAGGCTCTAATGCCACATCACTCATTCATATTAATAGGTCTGGCCAATCACTGCTTGACACCTGGAGTATAAGTACTGAACTCACTGCTTCATTTTTGCAGTCGTTGACAAATGACCTCCCTTTCACAATTCACACCATTTGATTAATATTATGCATTGAACTAATCACACAGAAAACATTTGTGGATGTTTGATCGTCCTCCTACTATTATTCAAAAGTGAATAATTAAATGCTTACGTAAACTTTTATCAAAGACTTTCCTGGCCTGCTATCTAAAACATAGTTGCTAGTCTCTTTTAGCATTCTGTCTTCATCACTACATCAGCCCACACAATGATAAGTATTTATATTGTTTTATGCACTTGTGGTGGTTGGGTGTATATTTTTTTTTTCTTTGCAAGGCTATTCACACGTGTTTAAGACAAAGTGCTTGGTTATACGAAGTGAGCACTTGTTTTGTGATTGTTCATGTATGAGGTTAATCTAGCATACTAGCGCTGCATGATTTAACCTAAATTGAGCCTACTTTGCGCATTGGCTCAGTGCAATTTTTAAGTCAAGTCACCTTTATTTATATAGCGCTTTTAACAATACAGATTGTGTCAAAGCAACTTTACAGTATTAAATAGGAAAATAGTGTGTCAATAATTCAAAGTGACAATAGTAAACACTCAATTTTCAGTTAAATGCAGTTCATCATTGAAATCAATGATGTCATCATCCAGCTCAGTTCAGTTTAAATAGTATCTGTGCAGTCAAGTCGACGATATCGCTGGATATTAAGTGTCCCCAACTAAGCAAGCCAGAGGCGACAGCGGCAAGGAACCAAAACTCTATCGGTGACAGAATGGAGAAAAAACATTGGGAGAAATGCTGTGTGTATTTGGTGAAGTACTGTACTGAGATCAGAGTGCATTGATCGGACGCCGGAACGCTCCCTGAACATTCAGCAAGTGGTGGCATCGTTCAAGTTAGGGACTGTGTGTCCCCTCAGGGTGTTTCAGAGGTTGCTCGGCCTCATGGCGGCCACTTCCTCATCGATTCCCCTGGGCCTGCTACACATGCAGTCCCTCCAATACTGACTCAGAACTCATGTTCCGTCCCACGCTTGGCACCTGGGCCGGTGTTATATAAGGGTAACCCATCACTGCGTCAAAAGCTGTGGCCCCTTGGACAATGCCTTGCTAGTTTTTACCAGGCATACAGTTGGGAATGGCATCCAGGAGGAAGGTGGTCATGACAGACGCCTCCAGCCTGGGCTGGGGTGCTCTGTACGAAGGCAATCCAATGCCTACACATCAACTGCCTCGAAATGATGGCTGTTTGTCTGGCCCTAAGAACCTTCCTGCCAGCCTTAAAGGGGCACCACATCCTGGTCCGTTCGGACAACATAACTGCGGTAGCCTATATCGATCGCCAAGGTGGCCTCAGATCATGTCCCCTCTACAGGATGACTCGGCGTCTCCTGCATTGGGCACAGAGCAAACTCATTTCACTACAAGCGGTTCATGTGCAGAACAAACTAAACCAAAGAGCGGACATGCTTTCCAGCGACAATGTAGCCCCAGGAGAATGGAGACTACATCCCCAGTCGGTTCAGATGATTTGGCCAGTCTTCGGCAAGGTGGACCTCTTCGTCTCCGAAGACAACTGTCACTGCGCAATCTATTTTTCAATGCAGCGGGATGCTCCGGCCCATGATTGGCCCAACACTGTATGCACTGTCTGTATGCATTCCCTCCGATCGCTTTTCTCCCTTTGGTTATCTGGCGAGTCAGGGAAATGAAATGTTCACTTCTCCTTGTGGCCCTACTCTGAAGGAACCAAGCTTGGTTCCCGGAGATGATTCAGCTGCTGTCAGCAGCCTTGTGGCCACTGATGAGAGACTTTCTCTCGCAAGCGCAGGGCAAAATTTGGCATCCCCAGCCAGAGCTGTGGAGCCTCCAAGTCTGGCCCCTCGGCGGGAGTCTAGCCAGCTCCCCGCAAGAGTTACCAACACCATTTTAGAGGCTAAAGCTCAGTCTACAAGACGTCTCTACGCTCTCAAATGGTCAGTCTTCTGTGACTGGTGTTCAGTACGAAACCAGGACCTGATTTCATGAGATGTGTCCCACGTGCTAACCTTTTTTCAAGAGCTGTTGGACAAGGGGCACACTCAAAGTCTATGTGGCAGCCATCACGGCAAACCATTCTCTCATGGCTGGCTGGACAATCGGCAGAAACAACTTGGTTAAGTTCCTAAAGGGTGCTCGGAGGTTGAACCCGCCTCACCTTAGGACTGTGCTGACGTGGGACTTGTCTTTAGTCCTAAGGGCCCTCCCTTCAAACCGCATCAAACAGCTAGCTTATGGGTCATGACACTCAAAACCACTCTGCTTTTGGCCTTAGCATCAAACGAGTAGGTAACTTGCAAGCGCTGTCCGTCAACACTTCTTGTTTTGAGTTTGGGCCCAACAACTGTAAAGTTGTTCTTCAACCATGCAGCGGTTACGTACCTAAGGTGCTCTCAACTCCGTTCAGAGCCCAGGTTATTTCCCTGCTGGCCCTCCCTATGGTGGATGGTGAACAGGGTCCAAACTGACTTATGCCTCGGTTGGCTCGCAATGCCCTATAGGTGTGAGGACCCATTCCATCAGAGGAATGGCCTCCTCCTGGGCGTGGTCCAGTGGGATCTCTATTGGTGAGATTTGTGCGACCTTCAGCTGGTCGTCGCCATCCACATTTGCCAGATTTTATAATTGTGATGTCCTTGCCTTGCAGACACGGATTTTGTCTGCTTAAACTGCTGGTTTCTTCCCGAGGGTGAACTATTCGAAAGACTCGAGAGATGAACTAATCAATTCTCTTTCAGGCTCAGACTGCATAGGTTAAAGCTTATGGGCCTGTCACGTGATGAACGAACGATTCAAACACGAAGACTTGTCAGAAAAGAGGTGAGGTGAGCTAATCATAGACTGAAGGTAAACAATTAATTAATCTTTTCTGTTTCTTATAGCATTTATAGTTTTGTATTGTTTGTAGTGTGATCAATGTTTGCGTAAGTAGTAGACGTGTTAGGGAAGTAACACGTAACATTTTAATTATATTTTGCTAAAATGAACAAAATGAACGAAATGACTCGAAAAAAGATTCGTTAATTTTGCTGAACGAGACTCAAAGGTCCGAGTCGGTAAAATGATCCGAACTTCCCATCACTAGTGAATTCAGTTCACTGGAGACTCGCACTAAACGGTTCATTTGAATCAGTGAGTTGCCGACTCGAGAACAGCTGCAATTGGTTCATTCTAATTCGTGAATTAATTGTTTGGTGCATTCTGCGAGCCGATTTAACGGGTTCATTGAAAATAATCAGTTCGTTCTTGAATCAGACACCGCTTCTGCGTGTCAGAGCACGTGATATATTATAAGGAGTAACGATATGTTTTATGAAATGTAGTGAAGTAAAAAGTACGATCTTATGCTT